ATCTTTAAAAAAAAATTGAGTTATTCTCAGCAATGTCCCTATAGCTTTTCAGCCCAGTAGAATATGCAAGCTGGTCAAGATGCATATCAGGGATATTCAAAGTTAGTTGTAAAAACCCCTAAGAACCTGTGGTGAACTCAGAGAAGCAGTTAGAAAGTATATGGGAAAGGCTGTTAATGGAATATTGAGATAAGAGGAGATAATTATTGGAAGCTGAGGATGGCTCTTGACTGTTTAATGTATCAGAACATCACATTAGTTCTGTCATGTTTCTAGAATAGCAGTCATCTTTCATGGGGTCCTTGTATTATGACAAAAGCTGGATACAGGGGATATGAGCTTTGGAAGTCAGACACATGTATGATTTGCGTCCTCCATTTCTTGATTCACAGTTCTTTCATTCAGCCTGATACTTATTTCTGCCCATTTTCAGTGGATAGACTGCTTACTTGGGGAAGGATATTAGACTGTGTGTCTACACTTGTGGTTATAGGGTTGCAGAGTTGAATCTTGTACCCACCTGTTATCTCTCAATTATACCTTCCAAAAGGTGCTGAACATCAGAGTTCTAATGAAATGCAGCATCTACATTGGGAAAATATTTTAATTTCTTAATGTAAATATTAACTTGCCCAATTTGATCATACATAGACAAATATATAGACTATATGTAGCCTAGTGAAACAGGGCTGACTTGACTGAATTAAAATCTAGGAAAAAAAAAAAAAACTAATGACAATACAACATGAGGATTTAAGGATTTTTAAATAGACTTGTATGATTTATTTAATTGAGAAAAAATTGTTATTTAAACTTATGTGTTAATGCAAGTAAATAAATTAGGAATTAAAAAAAATCACTGTTGATCTTGCTGGCTTCTAAGGAAAATAGAGGGAAAAAAGAGATGTTAAAAAAGATAAACTCATGTTTTACAAAGTTCTTTAATAAACATAGGTTGCAATTCCAACCATTGTGGATGCCTAACAAATAAAACAGTTGGCATCTATTCTCAGTTGTGTTAGGAATGAAATGTTGCTTATTTCATTGCTCAGTATAATATATATCAATATTTGGTGTCATGTAATGGTGTAAAAAGTTCTCACTCATATTTGGGGAGAGGGGAATCATAACACTCTTCCCATTGAGAAAGACCTTGGAGAAATATGTCTTGATTCATTTTTGTCTTTTAGTGGCAATAAAGTTTTCATACTTTTTATGGTCATGTTGAATCATATGAGATTAGCATTATGAAGGATTCTATATTTTACTTTTAATGAAATCCATTGTTATCTTCTCTATTAAATATGGAAATGAAAAGAGTTTATCACTAGTGAAAAATCTAAGATGTTTCATTGCTTTAAAATAATCTAATATATTTTTCTTAGTATAAATGTAATTATTTAGGGATTAAAACTATTACATAACTGTTTATCTGAATTAACTTTTACATCTTACAATGCATTAAAAAATAAAACTGCTTTATAACAGAGTAACTTTGAAACATAAAAGGGAATTAAATGACTGAAGATAAAAACAAGTGTAATTTAGTGTTACTCCTAAGGAAAAATTTATGTAGAACTGTTGTTTACAATAATTGTTGACATATTCCCCTAAGTACTGTGTCTGTGATTTTTCATGGTATCAATCATTTAAAGCAATTTAGGTAATAACATTCTGACATGCATTTCTTCTATTTTATTTACACCATTTGCCTACATCATTGTAATGCAGTACCTTTCTGATTTGGTACAGTAAATGTACTCTGTAATATCTATTATGGCATGGTCAAAGGATAATTTATTGTCAAATAGAAAAATAGGTCAACACTAATGTCACTTGATGATCAAACCCCCCCAAGTTTAATAAAACATCTCACCAGTATGCATTCCAGTGCAGTGGTTGATATTTTATTAGGACTACCTGGCTATAGCAGTAGTGTAATTACTGAGCTGTCAGAGTGATAAGTGGGATTAATGGCAGCCTGATGCACTTTAGTCTGCAGAGCGCTTAGAGAATTGCAAGATGGTATTATTATCAGAGTCTGCCCATTCTGGCATATTCATGGCACCGAAGGAAAAAAAATGCTACAATTCAGGTTTGCATTGCCCTGCCTCATTAACATCTGACATTTCCAACAGCTGTTATTTGTGAACTAGCTCAATAATAAAAGGGGAATTATTTGGTAAAGAGGCTTAATAACCACAACTAAAAATCCTTACATTGTCAGTGCTGTTAAGTGAATATGTTTACGTTGAATTTAAGATTTCTCTGGAAGATTAGAAAAATACACTGTGCATTACTTTGGTTCATTCATACCTGCTGACATTATAACTATATTTTAATAGCCTTATTAGTCAAGTTGGGTATAAAGGAAAATGAAAAACAGAAAACTGTGTCTTCACTAGGAATAACCAGAATCTATATGATGTAAATAGATATACACGTATATAAGTATATGTATATCTATACAGGTATATAATATATTCTTTTACTTGTGTGGAATGGCAGATATTTAAAAACTGTTGAATTTTTTTAATAAACAGAAGATATTTAAGATGGTATGTTATTTGCTAAATTTTTAGCTGTTTTATTTCAACACACTAGAAAACCATTTAAAATCACTGTTACTGATCAATACATTTATCCACGTGAAGGTAACCCATATAAGTATCACTTCATTTCAACATGAAAGACCAAATAGACCATACATAATGTTCTTTTTGCATTATTGTGCAATGTACGCTACTGATCATACTTTCAAGAAATTCTTTTTTTAACTCAGTGACAGTGTTTTAGTGGGAAAAAAATCATACGTATGAGAAGATAGGAATTCAACTAAATGATAGATGTGAATCTAACAATGGCATTTAGAGAAATGATAGAGGAGAGGTTTAATGACTACATTGCAGAGAGGACAATTGATTATGAAAAGCCTTCGGTACTCATTGTGTAAAATTTAATTTAGAGAGAAGGCTAAGGGCACAAACCAGAGAAAAGAGATCAGATTTAAAAACAAGATATTAATTAGGTACTGAGAAATTGGTTCAGACAATGAAGAGGACTCTCCTGCTCACATAAGAATGACAAGGAGACTGGTATTGTTTTCTTGAAGGAAATGATCCAAGATGGAAGTGGATAGAAAATGAGCTAGCTAGTCACCTTTGTTATTGAGCAATGTAAAATTCATTCTTAGTGAGGTTCTCGGAAAATTCTGGTCTGACAAATGTGACAGTGGTGTATCTTTAAGTTTTAGATCTCTAGCTTAATTTTTTTCTACTGTTTCACTTTATGCCAGACCAGTTTCCATTAGCTAAGCTACCTTGTCATTTTCTTTTCTCTCCAGACCTAGTCACATACAAGTTCTAATATGGGATCATTGTCTTCAGTGGCCCTGCACTCCAAATCCTACTCTTCTTCACTTACCTTATGCCCACTCACTTTCCAATGTTTCTGGTAGATCCTCCTTATGTGTTCTTCCTTTCTACCTCCATGAGTACGGTTCCTCTTACTATGTTTCTGTGCATGCTCTTTTTTTTTTTTTTTAAGATTTATTTATTTATTTATACAAGCACTGGGTACAGTCAGAAGCGTGGGAGGGTGAGAGAATTCACCAAAGCCAGAGCAGGGAGCAGAGCAGGCAGAAGGACCAAAGTACACTGCTGAGGGGAGCAGCGGGCAGCAGGAGAAGTCTGCGCGCCATGTGGGGCCCTCCTCTGGTGGCCGAGAGCAGCCAGGGATTGAACCGACCCTGCAGAGGCTGCGGGCAGCTTCGCAACCCAGCGCTCAACTGCTGCGCCACCGGGAAGGCCCTTACACAAATTCACATTGGCCACATTGTAGTTGCCTTTTGTATGTCTCTACTTCCTCAAAATTGCTAAGATCACAAGAACAGGACCAAGGTAGTTTGTTCATTAATTTTATATTTTTATATCCCAGATTCTGCCCTGGAACAGAGGCTCATTTAATATTTAAGTGAATGAATAAATGAACAAAATTACATAAGCTAATATTAAAATTCAAGACCATTCCAACCAGTGGTTTCATTCCTGAAATATTAATTATAGATTTTCTCTGTGTCGATCTACCCATGTATATCAGAATCACCTCAAAGACTTTTCACACAAATGTAGATCACCAGGCCCAAACTCCCACTTGTGAGAGGCTTCTCTGTAAAAAATGTGACACTTATGAAACTTCTGGGTGATTCTTAGGCACACTGAAATTTGAACACGTGTGATTAGTGTCCCCAGAGAAGCAGATTCTGGGAAGAGGTTAGTATGAAGGAAATTTATTAGATTAACATCTATACAAGAGTGAAAGAATCAGGAATGCACAGACATAGCCACAGTAAAAGTTGAAGTAGATTCCTACAAGCTTGTTCCACAAATGGGGGCAAGGGACTGGACCTCTGATCCCCCTCAGTGACCTGTAATTGGATGTAGGCTGTGACTGGAAAGAGGGCATGACCTTGGTTGAGACTGTTCTCTTAAGCTGAGGGCAATGCAGCTGGGAGAATGAGAGCTTCAGTTCTGAAGGGGAGTGGATATGGGCTTTGAATGAAGAATCTACCACAAGGTTCAATCGCTGTGTTTGTGGTATGTGGGTTGAAAACCATCAGAAAATTGCAGGAAACATGGATGATTGGAAGGAAAGCAGAAGGGAAGTGCAGAGAAGGCAGTGGGAGTGCAGAAAAGGAAACTATAGTTGGTCAAATGAGAGGCTAACATTAGCATTTGTAAAATATTTGTGGTCTACAAGGCATACAAACTTTTTTTTTGATAAAGAATGTATTCTTTTCTTTTCTTCTATTATTTTTACATCATTTTTCATTTTTGCACAAAGCATTGTCGGTATAGTGAGGGATCAGAATAAGTCAATGAATGATGTATCTTAAATAGGTCTTACTAGACGCTACTTCTCAATGGGTATATGGTATAGAATATATGGAATAGTTTCTTAGTGACTTTATAGTTTCATTAACCTAATTAATTTTTTCCTAGATGTCTGAAATGTGCAGATGCACCCTGTCAGAAGAGCTGTCCAACAAATCTAGATATCAAATACTTCATCACCAGTATTGCAAATAAGGTAAATTCAGACTCAACTTTGCAAATGAAAATTAAAAACCGCATATGATTTTGATCTCTAGCTGTTATGATCTGTCATTAAAGTATAAAGCTTATCTTAACAAATTGAACTAAAATGTTAAGAATATGATTTCTGTAGACATGTGAAAATGTGGCACATTTTATTAATTAGCCTTTTCCAAGTTGTGATGTGATTGTTGTAAAAATGGGCATTCATTGTGTATTGTCTTAAAAATTAGTTGCTATTTGACTTAATGATTTATTTTCAGACAAGGCATTCACTAAATAGATTCACTCTATCTTAAGCTTGCTAAGTGCTTATAGATAGGAAATGTCATTGATTATCAAAACACAAAAAAACGTGGAATAACTTTGTTTTAAAATATACTTTGGTATTAAGTCTGGCACAGTAAGACCACATGAAGTTAATGGTCTTTTCTATTAAAATTCAGTTAATTTATTTAATATTTGGAATAATTCTTAGAAACTAAAAGAGTTGTGATAAAAATATCTAAGAAAGGGGTTTTATGGGCATGAGTAGAACAAACAGAATTTTGATCTTTAAGGTTTTTTAAATCAATGTAAGGTTAAGTCCACTTTTTATTCACTAAGTAGATGGTTGATTGAGTGAATGATTAATTAATTGTCTCTTTTGTTTGTTTAAGAAACATTGTGCGCTCTTAGTCTTATCTTTTAACAACTGAGCAAAAGCTGAATGAAGTTTTCCCATAAGGATACATTTTTTTTTCCTTAAAATTTAACACCTATGTTCTAAAATACTGAAAGGCTCCCATAAGAGCCCCTTCACAATCTTTTTATGTATAATAATTATTATTTCTTGGAAATGAAAATGCTAACTGGAAAAGAAATAGGCACCCCTATGTTCATCACAGCATTATTTGTAATAGCAAAGACATGGTAGCATATTCATCTGTGATTGCATAAGTCAATAAAGACAAATGTGTACACACACACACATGCACACACACAATGGAGTATTATTCAGCCATAAAAAAGAATGAAATCTCAGCATTGGTGGCAACAGGGATGGACCTTGAGGGCAATATGCTCAGTGAAATAAGTCAGAAAGATAAAAACAAATGCCTTATGATCTCATTTATGTGTGGAAACTATCAAACTAAAATAAAAAATAAAAATAATTCATACATACATTGAATAAATTGATGGTTGGCAGATATAGGGTCAGAGGATGGACCAAATGAATAAAGGGAATCAAATGGTACATTATCTAGTTATTAAATAAATAAGTAATAGGGATATAATATACAGTATGACTATAGTTAATGATACTCTATTGTGTATTTTTAAATTGCTAAGTGAATAAATTTTAAAAGTTCTCATCACCAGAAACAAATATTTTAAGCATATATAGTTATGGATGTTAAACTTTTTATAGTTATCATTTTGTAATATATACATATATTGAATCATTGTATTATACACTTGAAACTAATGTTATGTGTTAATTATATCTCATCAAAAGATTATTTTTCAACATTATCTAAAAATAGTTAAGGAGAAAAATGACAAATTTCTATAGCTTTAAGATTTCAAAAGAATTATATGTTATTGCTTAGGTATAGTTAATGGTTTAATCTGCATGGCATATTTATTAAGATTTAAAATCTAGATTGAAATTTTTAGATCCACCCACTTATAGTGAACCCAGGGAAAATTACATACCTCTTTAGTTTACAAGGAACAATAGTATCTATCTTACAAGTTTGTGCTATAAACTTAATAATACTTACATGTGAAAATCTGCAGTATAGTAGTTATTCAACTAATTCTTTCTCAATGTGGAATTATTAATTACCCAAAATGTACATTATGGCAAATATTGCACAGATGATTGCTGTTTATGTAGCTATTGTTATTTAATGAACAACTGTCTGTGAAGCACATTGCCAGATACTAGCTAAAAAAGGATTCTTGCCTTTCATAGCTCATAATCTATGAGGAAAAATGGAAAAATTTAACAAAAGGAACCATACATATCCTAATTCAACACAGTGAGTTCTGCAATCTAGTAGGTGTATTCAGTATGTGAAAAGTCAAAAATGTTGGCATGTTTATGAAAGGTTTGGAGAAATGTAATGAATTCAGTGTGGCTAGATTGTAGCCCTGATTTTTGAAAAATGAGTCATGTGAAAGAGGCAAGGCAATTAGATTTGGATTAGGCTGTGAAAATATTTGAATGCCATCCTCAATATTTGAGACTTAATCCTATAGGTAGTAGGAAATCATTCATGCTTTTTATTTATTATGTAATTAAGATGTATTCCAGGAAGGGATCTTTTATTAACATCATAATACCCCAAATATTCATCTTCAGAGGATCTTTCTGTGTGAAAATCAATAACTGATGTGAAAGCAGATGTAAAATCTTGTTTGTTTAATAATGACCTTATGAGAAAAGAAGTGAAGTAAAAGTTTGAACTAGGAAGTTTATTGACTAAAATTGTATCCAAGATAGCACTTCTGACTTCAAGCATGAGACAAAGTTAGGATTATGACAGAGCATCTTAGAGTACACCAGCTACATAATTCTAAGCAAATAAGTGTTGGCTAAATATTCCAAAATTTAATTGTGTCTTTGTAGTTCTTATTAATGTACATTCTGTTCATATGAGATCTATAAAAATTTATAGGAAATATCCAAAAGGGACTAGTGGTATTTTGGGAAGTTTATAAAATGTCTAAACAAGATCATCAGATACCTTTCTATTTTGGGAAATATTTCCCTTTTTTTTTTTTTTTGTTCATCTTCTTTATAACTCAGGAAGCATTGCACTTAGTTATGTCTTTAAACAGATTTCCATAAGAAGATATGATATTTGGAGATTTAATTGAAATTGTAATCTTTTGCCAGGCATTTAAGGAGCTCAATTGTTAGTAGTGTTTTATTGAAGCATCACCACAGCAATCATAAAAGGTCAGAGATTTTTGTTCTAAAGACTGCAGCTTTTTAGATATTTACCAGCTGTGTACAATGTAGGCTGTCCAACATTGCTCTGCCAGTGGACCTCGACTCAGGAGGGGAGTTCTTTCCAGGTTGAAAGGGTAATTGAATCGCCAGACTCAATGAGCCTTGGGTCTCTTTGAGAAAAGGATGTCACTTGTGTTGTATTGTGTTAGTTTCTGTGATTCAGTGGAGTTTAGGCCAATACCTCCATTCTTTATTTTCTTACAAACTGGATTACAGCGCTAGTTTCCAAAGGTACACTCAATTCTATTGTACCTCCTCAGTTAGTTTTTCTCTGTTTAGTTTGTGCAGGCTGTTGTTTGTAATTGTATCTCTCAATTGGAAGCACATGTTTTAGAGTCATCAAACTGTGAATGCTGGGTTATATTTCTTGATAGTTTTCCTTTGAAAAAACACTATTTTATATAACAATCCATGTGTTCATTCTATAAATGTAAGGAAAAGATAACTAAAAAATGTTTCTTCATTTCATAAAGCTTGATTTTATACAAGAGATTCTTTCTTCAGATGTTTACATTATATTGTAAAGCATTGGTTTTCCATTAATTTTCGTTTTAAATAAAATCGGTACTCACATTTACTGGCCTTTTATATTTACACAAATAAGCTTTTATAATATACATTAGCAAAAATTGACAAAATGACTCAAAGTAAAGTAAAAGTTTCTTCCTTATAATAGATCTCCATTAAAATGTATCAGAAGCTGGAGGATCAACAAAATTTAACTAGCAGAATTTATTGATAAATTCTATTGACAATAAAATTTGTATTTTGAAAAGTTATTTTGATATATGGGAATGAGTGTATGTTTGTGCATGAACATAAGTGTAGATGTGATGCAAAAGCGTAACAAAGTAAAAATGCAAGGAGTAGATTTAGTCTATCTTCTTCTTGTGGTTGCTTTTCAATTTTAATGATTATCAGTTAAAATATTGCTAATTTTAAGAATAATTTTCTAAAAGCATAGCTCTAATTGCATTATACCCTTTCTCAAAGAACTTCCAGTGGCTCTCTAGTGCCTAGAAACTAATGTCTAAATACATTACAATGTAAACTTCTTGGAATTTCTCACACTAATATAAGAGAGAAGTAAGTATATAAAAAATTGCGAAGAAACCCAGTGATTTTAAAATATATAATTATTTGAGATACATAAAACAAAAAGATCATATGCAGGGCTCATTCCTTCACCTATTGCTAGATAATGATTGTGAACACCTCTATATATTCCAAGATGACTGACTGAACCTTGCCTATCAGCTATAAAGTAGACTAAAGAATACAAAGCTTTTAAAAACACTATCCTATTAGACTTCTATGGAGTAAACAAATCATTATCCTGCAAAGTTGAACATGCTGTTTGGTTTAAGTAAATAGTTTCGAAGTGTATGTCAGTTTTCTTTAGATGAGCTGACAATTTTTGAGTAATGTGAAAAAATCTTTTTCAAAAACAGAGTGTATTCTAAATTTTACAATTGATCTCTGAGTCTGTGTCTGTTGGGATACAAATATGAATGGGTCTTGCATTGTATGGTAAGATGATATAAATTTTAATTACCTCCTTCCCATCTGTAGATTAATATTTTCTGTATTCCATCCACTTAAAATTTGATGCAGGAGTGTTAATATTTTATTGTTCAATATTGGATGAAATTTCCACATTCACATTTTTGTCAATTTTCCTCATTCTTCTTTTCTTAGCATGTTGGAATTTCGATGTGGATGCAGTTTATTTTTTTCTAGGAATATTGTAATAAATTTTCATTCAGTGAGGGTATGTTGGCAAGCTCTTAGCTTCTGAAAATGTTTTTGTTTTTATTTCTTAACTTTTGAAAATAAATTTCACCCCATATAGATTTCATGATTGGCATTTACTTTTTTTTACCCCCTTTGGCTTATGAAAGATCATTTCAGTGTTTTTTTGTCATGCATTGCTGCTATTTGAAATTTAGCAGAAATCTAAGTATTTATTGCCCATTTAAAGATATGTATCT